GATTTTGTTTGAAAATCTTCAATAAGTAAATTAATTGAAAAATCTGTAGTACTTGTTTCAGTTATTAAATTTTGACAAACTACCTAAAATTAATTTCAATAATATAAAGAAGCAAATAAATTTCCAAGATATATGGCTTATATTTTTAAAAATAAAATTATAAATATATTAATTAATTATAATTTATTAAAACATTAAATTATAATTAATTAATTAATTAATTGTAATTTACCTCTTCCATCACATCTCTGGAAATATAGGTACATTTATCGACACAGAATCAATATACATTTCTTAAAAATTAATTAGTAGTCCATGTTATTATTTAATATGAAGAAAATTATAATATTACATTTATTTCAGTTATATTTTTATTAATTAATTTATAGGAATGATTAATATTATTATTTTTATCCAAATCGTTATTTTATCAGCTTTTGGTATCACTTGTCTTTTTAATAGTCATTTTTGTCTAATTAAAATGTAAACGGTCTCGTTAGGCATGTGACTATCTTATCTTCTTTTTAAATATTATTTTTATTAATATGTAATTTGCATGTAAAATCTTTCGAAGAAAATTCTTCATTAACTACTGCACTCCACTTTTATAATAAACTGAAATTCTTAATAAATAAATATCCAAAATGAATAAAAGGTTTTAAGACTTAAATACATTAGAAATTTTAAATAAAGACGTTTATATTTAAAACTTTTTTCTTTTTTTTTCTGTTTTATCTACTGCTTATGCAGCTAGGAACAGTGCGACATTTTCTCATTTTTTATTTTTTATTTAAAAACTTTAATAATAAAATTATTGAACAGTCCAATTCATCGCGATTCTATAATCTTTTGTGTTTCAGCAGATGACCTATCATCCTATCTCTACTACTCTTTATTGTTTTCCATATATTTCTTCCTTTCTTTCTAATACTTATTACTAACCATATGTATCCACGACATTTTCATCATGCACATGTAGCATTACATTTCAAATGCTTGTATTTTTTTTTATCCGCTTCTGTCATCGTCCACGTTTCGTCATCATACAATGCTGTACTCCATACGTACGTTTTTAAAAGTCTTTTCCGGGTTTCTAAATTTTTTCAAGCATTTTAAAAGTTGTTATTTGTTGGCTATTTATTTTGACTTGTCTTTTTTTATTTATAAAATAATAGTCATTTTTGCGATTTGGCATCAGTGATTTGATTTAACCAATTGCATGATAACCGTATATATTATTTATGACATTATATCTACACCTTAAAATATTGTGTACACTGAAGAGGGTCTAAACATTAAGAAAATGTTCATAATAAATTTACCTTACTGTATGTTGTCCTCATTTCACTATCGGCATTGGCTCTTACGTGCCTTTTACTCTTATTTAATTTTACTCTTATTTAATTGTTTAAAATTAAGTTAATTCTTATTTTCAAATTTTTTATGTAAAATGTAAAGTAAGATTATAATAATTAAAAGATAAATAAATAACTTTTTACAACGTAAATTTATTCAAGAGTAAAGCACATCTTTTATCGAATTAACATAGAAAATTAAATCATATCTTATTTTCAGTATTGATATTTCTCCCAAATTTTCATTGTCATGAGAAATGTTTGACAAATAAAATTAAATACAATGATTATTTTTTTTCTTTCGGATACTACTCGCGGTAAGTTTAAGCTTGCAGGTGACGTCACGGCAACGGGACAGTTAAAGGGAGAGTTGAAAGATATGACAATGGCAAAAGATGATGATATATAAACTCGCAAATCGCAAAATGGCAAAATGGATTGGCATTCTGCTCGCACGTTCAGGAGATGCGCGCGAAAGGATCGACGGCAGCCAGTTTTCTACACGAATTGTTTGCTACGATGCTTCGTTCATTCCGTCGCGGTCTGTCTGAAGAACTCGTTAATGATTACCAACCTCACACTCGACGGTATCCCTCTGACGCCCAAATATTTAAGGATCCTCAGTGATGGCCTGGCAAATAACCGTAATCTGCGAAGCTTGTCGTTGGCCAGATGTCGAATAGGAGATGCAGGTTGGTTAAAACGTGTAAAATATTCAAATTTTTAAGCTATCACTATAAATCAGACATTATATCTACTGTATATTTGAAATAGAAGTTTCTTACAATCTTTTTATAAATTTTAATTAATATAAAAATAATAAAGATATTTGTGTTTGTGTTTTTTTACAGGATGTTATATGTTGCTGGAAAGTTTGCAATGTAATTTAAATCTACATGTACTGAATCTATCGTCATGCTGTCTCACTAATAGAAGCGCTACATACTTGTCATCGTTGTTCTTTAAAAAGAGAAAAGCGGATTTGCTGCAAAATATTTGGAAGGAGTCAACATTACCTCGAGACGCTAACACAACGGTGGTATGTATTGAGAGAAAAATATTACTTTAATTAAGATGTCACGTTTTTACGGACAAATTTATTTAATACGTTTGCATTTGCATTTCAGGAGGAAGGATTGCGAGTACTAATGCTTGATAGAAATCATCTTAGCGATATTGGCTTGAGGCAATTGACACGTGTGCTGAAAAATGACTTTTGGCTGAAGACACTGTGCTTACGATGTTGCGGAATCACTCAACACGGAGGAGAAATTGTATTGGAGCTTTTACAAACAAATAGCGTGCTCACGCAGATTGATCTCAGGGATAATGAGGTGTCGGCTGACGTACTTGAAATTATTCGCAAGACTTTGAAGAAAAGGAAAAGCAAAGGGGAAAGAATACCGATGAAGAAAAGGTTGCTGAGCCACAAACAAGTCTTTGTACAAGATATGATGCCAAAGAACAAATCTTCTCAGCATGTTCCAAAAAAGAACAAATTTCTCAAAGATCAAGCTGTAAGTTGTTCAAATTAAATATTAATTAAAAGCGCGCGATTAGATTTTTGATAAAAATATATCATTTACACATTCGCTTCATATAACATATATTTTTTCTATTTTAGCAAACCAAGACGCAAGAAGATTGCATTTTACAAATACAGCAAACTACGCATACACGGAAGATGAGAAGAAAAGGTGATAGAAAATATAAATCACACAATGTAGTAAAAACTCACATCAATTGGACCAACGCGGACAAATTAAAAAATCGGCTATCTCTCATGATTGAACATAATCGGAACTTGATAAGAAACTTGGAGAACAGCACCAATTTTCTACTGAAGGAAAGAGATCGTCGTTTGAGTGCCGAGGAAGCGTATCATAAGCTGCAACCCCGACTGAGAAATCTTAGGAACAAAATCGCTATGCAAAATTCTATTCATTCAAATATGTGTTACGAAAATCAAGTTTACGCAAATCTACAAAACATGTTTAAAGACTTGAAAATATCTGCAAATAAAAAAGTACTAAGAATGGACGACAAAAGTCTTAACGACGAGGCTAGAGAAAATAAAATTAAATCTATTGTTTGTTATCATACGAATCAACCGTTTAAAAATAAAATCGCCGAATTTTCCCGTAGAAGACCGAATTGTCCTAAATAAAATTGTGGCATCGATAAATTTAGATTATTTGTAACTTGTACAAATTATATGTCGTATGACAATTCAATATTGGATTTATACAAATAGAAATTATACGAATAAATTAATTAATTACATATATAATTTTGTCTTGTTTCTTATCTACAAGCTTTTCTATAGTAATAATTTTGGCTACGATTACACCCTAAATTTAGGCCGCGGCCTATACCTCAAATTCGACCTAAATTATTTAGGCCGCCTGCTGTAAACACTTGAGGCGACCGGACCTGATGGCTTCAGGTCAAGCTGCGTATTTTAGTGACCTGACCTGAAATAGGCCGTTATCATTTGCGATGTAAACGCGCGATCACGCGCGACGTGTCCTAGAAGCTTTATTTGCTTGTTCGGATTCGCTGCAATTCAGGGCGATCCTAAATACGATCCCGTCAATTTTTAGGTCTCTTTCGGTATAAACTGTAAACGAATGATAACTAGACCTACTTCGGGTCACAATATAAGTCAGGCCGCGATTAGGTTGCTGGGTGTAAACGTAGCCAAAATATGTATTTTTGTGCAAAGGAATATATATATATATATTATATAATTTATGTATAATTATATTTATATAGTGTGTGTGTTCTTACGTTTATAGATCACAATTAGATTACATATTAAAATTCTAGTACATTTTTAAGCAAATTTATAAAGCAAAGAAACAGTATAAAGATATTTATATAATTACTTTAAAGATTAATATTATTTAAACCTAAAATATTTAAAAATTAATTAATGTTCTGGAATGACAGAATGATTTATTGCTTGAATCAATCGTGTTACCTTGCGTTGTCAATCTGACAATAGTAATGTACAAATCACATTTAAATGGATGAAAAACTGGCAATGTTATATATATCAGCAGTAACGATAAAATCGTTGACTTCCTCGTTTTTAGAATACTGAGCCTCTCTACCACTTACAAGTCGTACTCGTGAGAGGAATTATCATCAGGAAAAACCGTGTAATTATCGGTATAACACTTAAAAAGACGAGTACCAAGCTTACATAAGTTAGGCTATTTAAAAGATAATTATCGCTCGTAAATACATCGCAACAAAAAGGCGACTTATAAATCTTCCTTCCAAGCACCCGGATTTCTGTAATGAATAAATTGAATAAATTATCTTTTTCTGTAAATTACTGCTTCCTCATTACGTTCAGAAGTTTTTTAATTATCGAGTCAATTAAATATACGATCTAATAATCGCGAACTGTTCGAAAATGATCTCGGTTAAAGAGATAATAACATTATTACTTATATATCAAATACATATATACATGTCTTATTTTTTTTGTTAAACATTATTATTACAATATTTATATTTTTATTATGTTTAATGTTCTTAAGCTGGATTGCGTTTTGTTTTAAATTTTTCTCAAAATCATATTATTGTATCATTGTATGGACGTATGTAATGTGTGTAAATGTCCGCAATGCACTGTGTGGATCAGTTATCCCCGCGGTAATTTTATTTTCTCTCTTCTTTTTATATTTAAAGATATATTACATAAAAATCCTTTTCTCTCTGAAATAGGTACAAGTAAGGGCATCTGTACTGTAGCAGTGAACAACGAATGCGAACTCCATTAGTCTTATCAGTAGCCCGTACCGAGCAGTAGGTATATTATCTTCAAGGTTTCCTACGATCGATGTAAACGTACTTATAGTCGGCAGTATACCGTTATACTGCTATTACCAGAGAAGAAAATCGATTTCTGTATATACTTAGGGCTGTACTACGAAGAAAGTATGAGAATAACCGACGCTTGGTATTCTCAGAGTTCTTGATATTGATTTTAGAGGAGTAGTACCTAAAATTTAATATGTACTGCATTAATTCTCAGTAGAAGAAACTGGAATATGGCAGAAAAGATTTGTTATAATTATTTTACATAATACTTTATAGTGTTTGTCATAAATATAAATATATTTGCCTTACGCATACAAGTAAAAGAACAGACAAAAACTATGTTAAATAAAAAAAATCTTCTCTTTATCTCAAAAGTTAGAAATTAATTAATAAATATATTTCTACGTATTTTAATTCTTCTAGTGAAAACTATACAAACTGTTCAATATCAGTTACTTTTAACTTATTGTTATTATTATTTTGCAAAAAAGTAAAATGAAATTCTTTTCGTTATATTTTATTATATAAGAGACAATTAATGATAAAATAGTTTTAATCTTGAAAGATAACGTATGGTTTTACTTCTCAGATTTTTTTCTTCTTTCCTTCTTTCTTTCTTCTGAAATCAAATTCTTCTTTTATAATTCTTTGCGTTATAGTATAACAATGTATGATATTATTATCAACCTGCATATAACGTAATTATAAAGCTTACAGATGGTATAAGCTTATCCAATACTTATTTGCTTTTTATTTACTCATTATCAATATTGTTTTATCAATGGTTGGTGTAAATTGGCGCAAAACACTATCGTGTCTCTTGATATTTCTTGGAAATATGGCCGAATCGTATCAAAGAGATCCACTAATGTGAGCAAACTTTGCTGTATCTAATTTTAATTTTAGCTCTTGCCATTGTAATTACGACGATTAAACAAGAATCTCAATTCCTTCGTGATTTATCTTGGTAAGATAATAAGGTTCTCTGACTTAACATTCTTCAACTACTTCGTCGGCTACTTTTCCCTCATAATCTCTCGGCGCGATCGCATAAAATTACTCCTTCCCTCCTGGTTATTTTGGCACTGGCGAACAAACGCTGGAAACTTTTCGGCCCCACTGACGCGGGCTTATGCTAATGACAGGAATTCTAATCGCAGATTATAATTGTTAATTCGTTAAATGATCCACAACTTTTGTGTATTTCCATTTTCCTGCGTAGTTCCATTTAAAACTCGTTGACTTACGTTCGGTAATAGTGTTTCTTCTTTTTTATATTAACCGAAAAATTTTATCTTTAATCCGTAAAACAATATTATATTTAATTAAAGTATTATTAGCATTAAAACAGAAAAAAATTAAATTTGTGTTTTTATACTACAGACCTTATCTTAAATATCAATTTTAATATTTTATATTAAATTATTTGTAAAAAAAATGCAAGAAGAAAAAGTTGTGTGGTTAGAAATTTTATATTAATTGTAAAATATTGTATTGTATTGTGTTATTTGTAAAAATTTAAGAGAAAATAATTCAATTAATATATTCCCAGTAAGAGCAAGAAATGTCAAGAAACATTTCAACTATTTTACATTAATGTTAAAATGTTGCTGTAATGTAGTTAAAATGTTTCTTGATGTTTCTTGTCTCTCTTTAACCCTATTTTAAATCATAGTCGTAGGCAATGTTTTTCTAACGCTTCGTCAATATTTGAGATTTTAATTAAAAGGTTTGAATTTTTTGCAATCTTACAGAATTAATGTCTTCTTTTAGTTACAATCTCCTGATGTGTCGTCAATTTTTCGAATAGCTTTTAAAATTTGATCGCTTATAAAATTTGATCACTTTAATAACATTAAATAAAGATGGAGTATTTCGAGAGGAGATCCGGAGGTATATATTTTGGAAAGAAAAGAATATAAAAAGAGCGGTTTTGTAGAGGATTCACTCGCGGATAAATTCCATCTGTCGAACGTTCGTCGGCTGTGCATGCCAGCACTCGTCGCACAGCCAGCTGCAATTAATCCATTTTATAGATGCTGACGATGTAAATGAAGTTTCCGGTCGAGTGTTCGGAGCGGGAAAAGAGTGGATGGAGAGAGCGCCGCGCCGGTGGCGGCGCAGTGGAAAAGGGAGGCCAAACCGGCCCGTTCGATGCTCGTAAAAAAGACCGTGGCTTTAACCGCCCGGTTGTAAAACCCTCTGGAAGCAATTAATAATAACCGCCCTTCGCAGTTCTCGCCTGAGCGATAAAGCGAACTTCCCCGCCTTTTCGGCGCAATCGTATCGCAATGAGAGCATAAACGCCGCAAAAGATGTTCCTTTCAACTTACTTCATTCACCGTGGATCAACTGTGTCTCAACGTATTTAAATATATTTTTAACGTTAATTTAAATATCCGTGATTTTCACGTCTAGAATAATAGTCTTCTTTATCTGGAAAAATTCGAGCGATATATAATACTGCAATAAATATAGTTAGTAATAAATTTGACAATTCACCGTTTGCTGAAAAATATCAACCTAGGAGATTCGCGATAGTGTATCGAGAGATCATTGAGCGATTGATGTGCCACGAAGAAAATATCGAAATTACTCGGCTGGCGAGTTGCAACGACTTTTCTCAGGACGCTCGACCGGGCACGACGGGAGTTTTGTTTCGGGATGACGGAACACCGTTCACGGACAAATCGTAACGTCGTGTCGAGATATCGGAGGAAGCTCCTGTCGGCCTGCAAGGCCTTTCTCTCGTCTTTTCCTGACTACCGGCGACCTTAGCCCGGTGATGGATGAGAGGACGCAGACTTTGCCGACAGCGCAATACCGTATCGGAGTAAGGGAAAGACACGGACGCAACACGTGCAATTCGAAACGTTATACGTTTCCGTATATACGTTTCCACCGCGCGATATTGCCGCACCGAATAGAATGAGATAGCGCCAGGTAATACGTAAAGGGTAGGAAGAAAGCAGTTTGTAAATACGCGCGAAGATAAGATTTCTTTGGGGCCTATCTCGGAAGAAAAGGTATCCTATCGCGATTGCCTGTTACCTCGAAGGCAACCTTTGGTGTGAGCAATGACATTCTGGCGAGATTCTATGTCTTGTAGAAGCGTAGACAAAAAACTAATCTTAATATACATTATGTATAGTATTTAATATAGCTTTATATTTTATTTTATTTTATTTCTTTCCAAAATAAATTAAGTCACAATTAATCAATAAATATGACAATAAACATGACTAGGGACTTATAATATATCTTATGTAATAAATAAACTTTTGTATTGGTCCCTATAAGTCATATTTATTATTATATTTATTAATGAATTATAATTTAATTTATTTCGGAATATGGGAGAGATTTTCCAGTTCCGTTATCGACGGGAGAAAGACACCTTCCCTCTCTCGCATCGATCATTCGCAACAGAGTGAAATCAAACACC